ATATATATATATATATATATATATATAAAAGCACATTTTTTTCTTTTTCATTTTGTTCTCGTAGAAATACTTTTAAAAAATTTTATTCAAACAAACTCTAATTGTTAAAAAAGAATAAAATAAAATCCTTTATTGCTTTATTACAATGTTAGAATTTTTTTTATACATAGTACAATGTTGGAATAAAGTTAATTTTTATATTTATTTTTTATTTTCAATATTTATAAAAAAAATTAATTATTTTAATTTCTATCATTATCTTTCTATAATGTATGTTTTGTGTTAACGTGAGAGATCTACTTTAAAGAATAATTCCAACAAATTAAATTAATACATGTATCACGTTAACTCGAAAAAAATAACATTTCAAAAAGAAATAATAATAACTAAAAAGATTAAAAAAAAATATAAAAAAAAAAGATAAGCATAAAGATAATAAATATTTATTTTAAATTATAGGAACTAAAAAATAAAATAAATGAGAGAGTAAAAAAAGAATATTTTAACAAAGATTTTTAGAAGATTTATAAAATAAAAATATAGGTGTAGTTGGATATGGCATTTACGGAAGCGAAGAATGTGGAGGTGGGAAGTGTGGAACTAAAAAGCCGATGTCACTTTCAGCGACAGTGTGACCAAGTGGGAAGGCAAAGTCAGAGCATGAGATATGCGACTCATATTTATTGGCTGCAGCTGCCAACGCGGACATAAACTACACCAAACAATACCTAAGCTTTATAATATACTACTAAGAACTTCTAATTTTGTTAGTGATTCTGAACAAAACACGACTTTAGATTTCAACATACTTTACTTTACTCTTATAATAAATTAATTATTATGTGGAATAAAAGTTATACCTACTGATTATAAATAAAAATTATAAAACAACACCCGATGGCCACAATTTCATAATTTTGCATTTAAAAAATGAGGAGCCGGCAGCTTAATCCAACGTTTCTACCTTTTCACATTTCAAGCATAGGATATGATATGATATGATATGACCACTAACAAACTATAGTTTCACATTAGATTACATGTTCTTGGCGCGTTTCAGTTTTCGTTTTTTGTTTCTTCATTCAACTTATTACACCTCTGTTTCCAGCTCACTTTTCCTATCAACTAGACCGGTTAGGTGCCTATTTCTTGTTTTTAGTATGTTTGGGAACATGGTGGATCACGTTGAAAACTGTGGTGGCCTTAAAGCTACTATTTGGCTGTGGAAAATTTGTGATGGCACCATGGTTTCTGTGTTTGATTTTCTTTAAGTTTTAGCCTTTTTGGATTCAACAGCGTGATACTAAAATCAGAGTTGAATATAAAGTAATGGGTATTATCCTCTTGGAACAATATTTTTTTAAAAAAAATTGTGTTTTTGTTCCTGATAGGATTAGAGAAAGTGACAAACTGAGTTTTTTCCTTCAGTTTTGTGTTTGATTATTTGAATTCAAGACACCATGCATGCCGTTTTCCATCTCAAAAATCAAATTGCATTTTGCTTATGTTAGAATATATTATGCAGATTGCAGAGTATAGCGGTAATATAGCAGGGTCATTATGACTTGTGGCTGCTTTGGAGCCAAATCCACAAAGGAAAGACGCCCTTCTCATGTTCCTAGTGAAATTCATGGTGAGGTTTGGTGATTACTTGATTTTATATTTTAACAATGCTAGAAAGTTTTTGTAATTTCATTACCATTTGTGTGGTAAAGATTGTATAGCGGTTAGCACGTGTGTGGGTTTGCCTAGAATTCCTTTCTTTCCATTTGTTTAATTTTTCTTCCCATTTATATACATATTTCTTTCTCATGCTTCTTTTCTTGTGTCGTGCAGGCTATCCGTTAGATAATGTTAGGCAATTTTCTGATAAAGAACTGAAATTCGCAACTGATAATTATCATTCAAACAATAAGATAGGACGAGGAGGTTTTGGAACCGTTTACCAGGTAATCAGGTTACTGATATTTGTGTTACCATGGAATTAATATGAATGTTATTCCTATTTTCTGTTTAATAAAACCAAAAATCTGTCTAGAGAAATGGTAAAAGAAACAATAAAACACTCAGTTTTGAGGACACTGAACACGTGATAAGTTACTTAAGCTAAGGAAGGGTATAAGGTGCCAAGAAACTGCATCACATTTTATCCTTTTTGCTCTTATTGATGTTTAAGCCTTTATAATTAATTATAAACACCTACGTGACAATTTTGTTAGGGAACCTTAAGAGATGGAAGACGTGTAGCAGTTAAGACTCTCTCAGTTTGGTCAAAGCAAGGAGTTCGTGAGTTTTTGACAGAAATTGAAACTTTGTCAAATGTTAAACATCCAAACCTTGTTGAATTGATTGGATTCTGCATTCAAGGACCTAGTCGTACATTAGTCTACGAGTATGTGGAAAATGGCAACCTTAATAGTGCACTACTTGGTAAATATGTTAATTAAGTGCTTAGTGTAAATTATCAAGTCACAAATTAAATCCATATACAGATGAGAAGATGAAACAAGTATGTAACCTTTTATTTTATTTCCTTTTTCCATCGTCTTCTAGGCACAAGGAATGCAAACATTAAACTAGACTGGAGAAAAAGATCTGCTATTTGTATAGGCACCGCAAAGGGTCTTGCATTTCTTCATGAAGAACTTGCACCACCTATTGTGCACAGAGACATCAAAGCTAGTAATGTACTACTTGACAGTGATTTCAATCCCAAAATAGGTGATTTTGGTTTGGCTAAATTATTTCCAGATGACATAACTCACATTAGCACCAGAATTGCTGGAACAACGTATGTTAATGTTATATTTCAGATTGTTAGTTTTAGGTTTTTGCTTATGCTATAGTTAGTTTGTTGTCCCAACCCTTTCCTCTATAGTTTCTGTATTAGGACTACTCCAATTTTTGGTTTGGAAAACAGGGATTTTCTAATTTATCCACTTGTATATAATTTTTTTGCATTCCAAAATTTGGTCAATTTATACTTGGACTACATAGATTATTGGACTGATTAATACTAAACCCTGCTTTGTTTTTATTTATACAGTGGTTACTTAGCACCAGAATATGCATTAGGTGGCCAGTTAACCAAGAAGGCTGATATATACAGCTTTGGGGTTCTTATTCTTGAAATAATTAGTGGCAGAAGCAGCGCCAGAAGGACAAATGGGGGAGGGTCACACAAACAACTCTTGGAATATGTACGTCTTAGTTTCCTATATATATGAGTTACTTTGCCACGTTATACATTTTTATGTTATGCAAATATCCAAGTTAATGTTTTTGAGCCTAAGAAATCCTAACATATCCTTATTATTCACTACCACTTGTTTTTGAACTAATCTTTCCGTACTACCTTGTTCCATGTCAACATAATACATTTCTATGTTTTTCTTGGACATAACGATCGTTATTTGGTGTAACAGGCGTGGCAACTTTATGAAGAGGGGAAGTTGTTGGAGTTTGTTGATGGAGAAATGGAAGAATATCCTGAGGAAGAGGTAAAGAGGTACATGAAGGTCGCTCTTTTCTGCACACAAGCAGCAGCAGGTAGAAGGCCATTGATGATACAGGTGGTTGATATGCTATCCAAGGCAATTCAACTGAATGAGAAAGAACTTACAGCTCCAGGATTCTTCACAAATGAAGGAGAATCCTCTAGAAAGAACTTCAACCCTGTCTCTTCAAATGCCTCTACTCATGTTGCTATTACTCAGGTCACCCCACGGTGATGTCAATTGCAGGGTTGCAAATGGAGAAAAAACTACTAGTATTTCATTGTCTTCTCTTTCTTTTTTTTCGAAGAATATAACATGGTGCGAACGTAATTTCGTTCAAGTGCATGTTGAAACCGGTAGTTCAAGTGCTTCTCTATTTTACACTCATCTTACATTAGTTTTTATTGCTTATGATAGGAAATTGGGGAGCAGACAGACACTGCTTGAATCACTAACCACGAGGTGTCCAACGTTAATGCTAACTTACGTCCAATGTGTTATTCCCTGTACTCCAATAAAATAATGTAAGATATTCAGCAAAAAAAGATTAAAAAAAATCTGTATGATACGGATATTAGTCGAGTTGCCATGCCGCACTCTATCTCTCACGTGCCTTGGTAATAAATGCAATAACAGGATTTTGAATGTTTTGTTAGGTATGTAAATGAAAAAGAAAAATGTATTTATTCTTAATTTAAAATAAATTAAACTTATAAGGTATTTTAATTTGAATCAATGGTAGATATATCTTCCCCTTTCACTTTATATATTTGTTTACTTTGTATAAGTCAAATCCATAAACTTCAACATAACAAAAAATTCGAACTCCAATTTAACTTTTGGTTGGAAAAAAAGTAAAATGAAATTGAAGAGATTTTAAAATATTTTTAATATAATATCTAAAATATCATTATTTATATTATTAATTTAAAATTATAAGAAAAAATTTATAAAATACAAAAATAAATTAATTTTTAAATCATTTTCCTCCATTATGAATAAAATAAGAAAAGAATTATCTCTCTTCTTTACCTTTCAATTAAACAAAATTTCTAACTTCTTCCCTCCATTAAAATCTCTCTTAATAGTGAAATAACATATATCTAACCATATATTAGTCATTTTAAAATAACATAAAACATGACATGTATAAATTGTATCACATATCATGAATAAATGATAGAAATTATTTTCAAAACTTTAAAAATTCATAAAAGACCAAAATTAACCATTTTTTAAAGAACTAAAACCAAAATTAATCAGAGCTAAACTAAAGTGGAATTCTAGCCTATAAATAAGGAAACTAATATCAGGCACATACAACGGGAAATTTTAACACCTGAAAAATATTAAACATTGTATTCGTCTATTTAACACCATCAGCCAGCAATCCCAACAAATACTGCCTAAAAGGATGTATTTAAACCCATGATCATTGAATCTCCACTTCACAATTGTTAATAATGGATTTAATTCATACAAAACCTTAGAGTTGGTAATAAAATTCAACCAATAAGCATTAGAAACTAATAGCAGGGCAAAAAGATTCACTAAAGACTGCAGGTGGAAAAAGGGATGGCAGAAGAAAGATTGATAGGCAAAATCATGCAGCAGGCTGCTCCTCTGTGGCAGGAGCTTCTTTCTGGGGTTCCTCGGCGGCACCAGTGGAGGTGGCATCCTTTGGTTGTGAACCAGGTGCACCTTCTGCTGCAGCTCCAGTTGCTTTTGATGCTTTCTCTTTTCCATCCTTACCGTCTTTGGCATCTTTAGCAGGAGCAGGTGGTGGAGGAATCATGTGAGGTGGTGGTGTGTGCTTCAGCTTTAACAGTATTTGCCGCAACCTGGACAGATCTGTGGGCTTGCCGGGCTTTGGGCCTTGGACGACCGTAATTGATGGCTTCTTCTCCTGATCCTTTTTGCCTCTTTTCTTTTCAATGTTGGGAACCTCACGAGGAATCAGCTCGGCAATTGCTTTCCAATACGCTTTGTCTGCCTCTTTGTGAAACTTCTCTTGACTAGCCATGAATAACTGCTCCACAAACAAATTTCATTTTCTTCAATTAAGGGAACAGGAAAAAATACATCTGACGAAAAATGATGTCATGAAGCAAGTAAAACATACCTTCTCCCTTTCTCTATTTTGAACCTTGTTAGTCTCAACATTAAGCTTCCTCTTCTCATAGAAAGCCACCTTATACTCCTCAGCTTCTTCAATAATCTTCAGTCTCATCTCTTTTTCCCTTTTCTCCTTCTCCTCCAGCAGAATGGCATTTTGACTGCACAAGGAAAGCCAAGGGCATTAGTTTTCTTATGACAACTGAGTTCAGCAAACTTGCAATAGATCTTAATCTTTATTAGGCCAAGATAAAAAAAAAAAATAAGAAAATGATTGTTCTTTCAAGCCAGATCAATTTCTCAGTGTGTGATAAATCAAACATTACAAGATTCTAAATCTGATGTCAAATGCCTGAGCATTGTTGACAAAATTGACAAAATATTGAGATAAAGATTAAAGAGACACCATAGTTATCAATCTCAGATAGCTGCGGGTAGCAGCCAATTTTGAAAACAGTATAGCAGTATGTGTCATGGCCACTATTTTAAATATTATTAATATTAATTATTAATGAAAACATAATAATTCATACATACATATAAACACTCAAAAAAAAATTAAAGAAATTCATGATAAATAATAAGTCACAGTTTATGCACCCAATCACCATCAATCTGGAAGCTTATAATAAAACACAGTAATGAAGTCAAAAAATGAAAGATGATTGTGCAATTAATAGAAAAAGAACTAACAAATTAAATAAAAATTAGTAGAATGTGATCACGGAGGCCTAGAGGAAGAAAAAAGAATGGAGCACATGAAAAAAAATTCATGTAAAATGTGAAGGAGCAGGTCAAAACAAAGGTAATTTTTGTGGAATTGTCAAGGAAGAAGGGTGTTAGGATTCAACCACATGATATTGGACTTGACTCCCACATTGAAAGTATGAGATTCCAGTGTGGGGTTTATAAGGCCTTAGGTCCTCCAATTACAATAATTAGCTTTTGTAGTATGGTTCTCTCAAGGTTCTAATCAATTGGTATGAAAACCCTTTCATTTTGTTCTAGCTGCAAACAAGCAGTGCAGATGGTGACACCAACATTGCAGTGTTCGCCCTGGACTAGAAGACAGGGGTTTGTGTACAAACAGCTCGCATAGGCATAACGCATGGGCGTGTAGGGGCTGTGGAGTTTGATGGGATGTTAGAATTCAATTGCAAGGTATGAGACTTAGGTCCCACACAAAAAATATGGGATCCCAATGTGGGATTTATAAGGTTTGGGTTCTCAAACTACGACAGATATCTTTTATGGTGTGGTTCTCCTCAGGTTCTTATCAAAGGGTTACAAATTCTATTATCTTTTTGAATCAAAAAATGTATTAGAAAATTGGGGGAGAAATCACAGTTTTACCAAAATAACCCTAAAGTTTCAGGGCTAAAAATGGGTTTTTGGACCCTATATCATTGTAGCACCACCATAACATGCGAAAAGTTGCTATTTTGACAATTATTACAGCCATTGACCACTATTGAGAACTACTACGCTATTTGAATTCCATAGCAGCCTAGGGGGCTGTTCCGCTACTCTGTTATAGTGTTATGAGAACCACCATTGACTACAATGAGAATCGCTATACTATGAGAGAAGAGAACATTGTAAAACCTTATAAATCAAGGAGGGGAAGTTCACTAGTCTCTTCAAAGAATGTAGAACAAACAGGTTATTCAGGGCAAGCAAAAACATGAACTAGGGAGGGATATTTTTCATTGGTATGGAGCCCCGATAGTAGCCCACTGGATTTAATTGTATAAAGCATACTTTCCATAGCACAATCATAAAAATCCAAGATCAGGAGGATCTGATGCAATTCTCATCAAGATATATCATCGCTTAAGTTCTTCATAAATTGCTTGCCTGATCTAGGCTCAACAAGGGTCAACTTGAGACGATCAATTAATCATCTCATTCCAACGTACAAGGGCTCAAACAATGATTGTTCGGCCAACATCAAATAAAATTAAAGGATCACACTGACAAACCCTAAAAACCGTCAAACTTGCACGGGGACTGGAATTCAGTCCGAGCCACTACTTTAACCTTTTCAAACCATTGAACTTACCTTAAAAAACACCTCATCATACAATAATTATATACTAAAGAAATCCAACAACATCCATGAGTGAAAAATCAATCAAACCCTCTCCCTTATTATTCTCCAAGCTTTCTCGATCCAAACATAGCCTTACAATTGGCGGATATAAATCAATTCCTCCCTACTTACTAGCATACAAAGACAATTACACTAAATCTCCCGAAATATCTCATCTACATATCTTAACACAGCTCAACTCACTGCTTCAAGTGAAATCGTATTAACATTTTCCATAAATAAGATCAAGCTTTCCCACTCCCGATTCATAATCCTAACTGCTCACTAGCAACAGCAAGAAACTTCGCGAGCAAACTTCCCGATTAAAGCAAAATCGTCACAGATCTAAGCAAATTCAAACGAGATCCGAGGAATTCACGAAGCAGAAGAGAAATTGCAACCACTCACCGGCGCCACTCCCGAAGAGCGTAACCTTCCTCCGGCTCCATTTCAGTCGGCGGCGGAAGCACCGGACCGTCGGAGACAAAAACGCCGTCACCGTCGCCATAGCCATTCCCGTTTCCGTTTCCGTTCTCTACGGTGGCCGATTCGAAGGGAGACTGAGAGTAAGCGGGATTCGGATCAGTGAAGCCGTAGATCTCAGGCGACGCGGCGGCAGAGTGATCGACGGGGACATCGGTGTCGGCGGAGAAACCTCCGGTGAAGGAGGAGTAGCCGCCGTAGCCGGAGTAGTTGTCCTCTTCTTCGTCGTGGTGGTGAGTGGAAGAAGAGTTGACGTTCAAGTCATCGGTGAAGGCATCGAAGGAAGACATGTCAGCGACTGCGTGTTTCTCTCTCTAGAAATGTGTTTCTCTCTCTTCTGTGCTGTGGAATGCAAACACTGTTGCTTTGCTTTGACGGAGGCTCAGCGCTGCCTCTAAACTTTCTTGGACTTTTTAAATACTTAACGGTGATTGGTGAATAATACAAAAGAAAAGGCGAAAATACATTATACATCTATAAATAAAATACTAGTATACAATATTACAAAAAATTAAATAACTTAATTTTTATTTTTAACAGTGAATACTACCTAACTATCGCCTTAGTTATAATATCCTTCTAATTAAATTATAGTTTTCATTGTGTAAAAAAAATAAATTATATCATTCATAAAAATCAGTTAATTTAGTTTAAAGTATTAATTTGTTAATAATTTAAATTATTTTTTTAAAAGTTATCCTTAACATTTTTTATATTAACTTTATTTTTTTCTATTTAATCATTTTTTATATAATTAATTAATATTTAAAAGAGAAAAATATCTATATATTTTTTTCAATCCTAATAAAAATGAGAGTTTTTATTCAATCAATTTAAAATATTTATTATTTTCTATCTAAAAGGATTGTTAATTAAACAAGAGTATTTTAAAAAAATATATATAACTTTTTCTTTTTGTAAAGATAGGAAAGATTATAAAAATGATTGTAATGAGGATTGAACCTAGGTTCTCATGCTTCTAACTACTCCAACCTAAAAATATATATGGGGAATGCTAATGTACTCCCACCTATTTTTTAGTGGGAGTATGTTAGTAACCTACACCAATTTTTTAGGACAAAAAAATCACTCATTTATTTTGATTTGGTTAATTCGTACAAAGGATATTATAGTAATTTAATTTAATTTTAAATGAAAATAAAAATTTTCTCTCTCTTATTAATTTCATTCTCCAATTCATTTATTTTTTCTATTAATTAATTTTTATTTGTTCTGAGAAAGGAGGGAGACATCATGAGAGATGAGAGAGAAATGAGTTAAAGAAATAATTTAATAGAAGAGAGATAAATAAGTTAGAGAAAGAATTTAATAAGAAAGAGAAATGAGTTGGAGAAGAAATTTAATAAGAGAGAGAAATGATTTAGAGAATGAAATTAATAAGAGAGAGAAAATATTTTTATTTTCATTTAAAATTAAATTAAATTACTATGATATCCTTTGTACGAATTAACCAAATCAAAATAAATGAGTGGTTTTTTTGTCCTAAAAAATATATATATATATATATATATATATATAACTAATATAACTGACAAGTAGAAAATAATTTTATTAAAAAATAAATAAATAAATAAGTGAAAATAATCTTATATATAGAGATGAAGTAGTAGTATTTATGTTAAGGATAGTTTATTATGTACTTTTTATGTACTAAATTTTGACTTTTTGTTTCAAAATCTTTTATGTTTTACACATTTCAAATAATATTAATTATTTTTTTGTCACATATATTCTTATTTGACAATTAATATTCCTATTTCATAATCATAATTATTCTTATTATACATATTACACGATATTAAGTGAGAATAACTTAGACTTAACACATTAGTATTAAATATTTCTTAAAGGTGTGAAAATCTTAAACATAAAAATATATGGTTCGAAGGGAGTAATTAATTTTTTGCAGTTTGCTTGTATCTTAAAATATTGGTTTTAAAATAATAAAATATTCTAATAAATTAAATAAAAGTAAATATTATTACAATATTTTTTTTTTTTTAAATCATACCTCGTAGAGTTAAGTTAATTTGTAATTAGTCATCAACAATGATAATAATAATGATAATAACAAGGATAATAGTTGTAGTGGTGAGAGTAATGATGTGGTAGTAATGAGAGTAACAATGTGGTGGTGGTGATGGTGGTAGAGGTTGCGATTATAATTATGATAATAATAATAATAATAATAATAATAATAATAATAAAGATGAATACAATGATGATTATAGTAGTGACTATGGTAATGGTAGTGGGAGTAGTAAGGTGGTGGTGGTTTTAGCAGTAATGCTGATGGTGATAATGGCGAAAGTTGCGATAACAGTTATGATAATGATAATAATAAAGACAAATATGATGGTGATAATGTTAATAATATTTTCACACTTCAATCACAAAATAAAAAGGTGTGACTCATATCCATAGGAAAAAAAAAGTATGGGTGCAAGTGCAACAAAATGACCTACCTTTTTATTTCTTATTTATTTCCCTCCCTCGCCTCTCTATTTCTTACCATTTTCATTACTACCAAACACACTACAAGGCTTAGATTGACACTATTTACATATGTATATTTCAATGGATAAATATATTAATTTGTATAATTCAATCGCAACTTGGAGATGAATCGTACAATTATTATATTAAGTTTTGTGAAATTCAAAAAGAGTTATAACTATATTGTTCCATCAATGGTCGATATAATACTATACTATTCTTTTGAGAGTCGTCACGCAATGTGTTTCATAATCAAAATTACAACCAAGATCTATTTCACTCATAGGTATACTTGTAGATGCAGACACAATCATAATCTTAAAAAAATATCAAGAATAGATTTCACTCATTATAAAAATGAAAATAGACTAGGTCACTCAATTAGGACATATGATCTAACTTAAATCAAACTTAGGCCAAATCTGACTTTTTTAAAATAAGTTAGGTCGAGACTTTCATTAAAACCTATTTGGTTAAAAAAATGTGAAGCTTTAAACTATTTTAAAAACTTATTAAACCTACCACGTAAATCATTTTAAAATAAAATAAATTAAGATTTATTCTTCTTCTTCTTATTATTATTATATAGAAATTGTTATGAGGTGTTAAAATCATATATTAATTTATCTTTATAAATATTAAATATGTTGACTTATATAAAAAAAAATAACAAATTTATTTATAAATAAGTCCACGTAATATTTACAAAAACATGTTTTAAATAAGCTATATTAGAGATTAAAATTATAACATGAATGCCATATTATACATTAAAAATATGCTTATGTATAAACATGATTATATCATGAGGTCAAATTATATTATATATTCAACTACGTTCAAGTCGAAGCCTAATAAATCCTATTTCGGCCGGTATATTTTTCACCCTACTCATGGATACTCCTCTAGATGGCCACACAATCTTAATCTTACTACTAAACGAATTGTGTTTTTAACTTCGGTAACTTACGTTTAGTTTTAACACAAACAGACCCTGATTTTTAACTTTTAACTCTATTATCAAATAAAAAATATATATTTAATTGATGTGATAATTATTAATATTCCACTTGCTGCTTAAGATCTTTTATCATAAATCTATTATAAAACATAGTAAATAAAATTTGTTATCGTTTTTCAAATACAAGTATTTAATTAGTATATAATAAATTTAATGGCAGAATATTTATTATAAACTTTAACATGAAATAATTCCAATAACATAATATCTATTATAAATTTAATATTATTCTACTGTAACAAATTCTAACAGAACTCGTGCATTTCATGCTCCTTGACTTATGTCTTTTAGTTATTGATCATTTTAATATGTCTTTGTTATATACTATATTTAATTATTGATCATGATTCGATTCGTGATTAAAAATACAGTATCCGATATCCAATTCAATTATCATGGTTATTACATGTACACATTAAATACAAAATCGTGCACAGCTCCAATTTCTTAACAACATCAAACTCAGATACAAGGACATGCAACTGTGATTTGTGAGACATTTCTACTGCACAGAATTAATTCTCTCATCATATGACTTGGGAAAAGGAGGGAAAAAAAAAGGACAACTAAAATCAGAAGTGAAAAACTGTACTACCTCAGTGAACTAAACTCAAAATTTTCATGAATACCAGTGTCTTCTTACGGCTGCACTGTGATGGAACTGTCAGTGGCAGGAAAGACTATTAACAGGTAATGTTGATGAAAACCAACTTCAAGTGTAAAAGAACCTGTACGCCTGTACAGAATGGTGTATCATGACTTCGCTTAAAATAAGCTGGGAAGGATGGTGAAAACCGACTCAAGAGACCTGTACTGAATGGTGTATCATGACTTCAGTTAATGAAAAAATCCGAATCAAATGTGTTCAAGCCACAGAAGAACAATTGCAGCATGTGGGACAGCCTCATGCATCATCTTTTGAACCGGTGTCAGAGTTTCCAGATATACACAACCGCACTGCATTGCCTGGGAGGACAAACACATCTCCTCAAAATATTTGTCCAGTATCTAACCCCACTTCAGAGAGGACTGAGGAATAAGTGGGTGTTATACTTGGAATTGGACTTGGGCAAAAAGACTGACAAACCAGGCAGTCACTTAACTGGCAATCATCCGACCAACAGCCATTCTCTGCATCGTTGCCTCAGTAACAAATACATGCCCCAACAAAAGCCACACTGGTCAAGTGAGATGAAAATCCAGTTATGCTTTTCAAGGAGCAATAGGAGCATTCCTGGGATATCTAGAAGAATAGGGTATCCGCGGCAGAGTTCGAGGATATTCTTGCTTTACACGTTTATTTGGCAATCCTTGTAGTGGCCTGATTTACAAAATAGGAGGAAGAAACAATAAGAAAGCAAGAACAATACAAACAGAAATACGATAGCCTTGGGAAGGTGTAAAGATTAAAAAACAATAAATTTAAAAAGTATTTCATTGTTACAGAAGCTGATATTATATGTGTGAGGCAGTGAGGCTTTGTCCAATCAGTTTTCCGACATATGATGTTGACTTATAATTGTTAATATTGGCCAGTGAAAGACAAGATAACTTGAATTGCACCAAATAAACCTAATCCGAATCACAGAAAAGAATAGAAACTGTAACGAAGTATGGCTCAAATTCATACATTGCTGGTATTTTGAGATCACTACAGTATTGTGAAGATTGAACTACTAAATTCCAATAGGAGCAAAATGCAAATCACAACACGGTCGATCAAGGAAGAAATGTGGGAAAGCATTTTATCTAAAGATCTAAGTTTGCTTCTTGTGTAGTAAAACCTATGTGTGTTTGGTAGAGCGGAAAGAAATAAGTGAGAAATATAGTGGAGAGAAATTGAAAGCAAGTGGAAATAGGTAAGAAATAGAATAAAAAAATATAAATAAATAAAAATAAAAATAAAAAAGAGAGAGAAAAAAATAAATAAATATAAATAAATAAGGGGGGCGGGGCCACCACTTTTTAATTTCTCACCCCCTTATTTCTCATCAACCAAATCACCCCACTTATTTCCACTCTCCTATTTCAAATATAACCAAATCTGCTGGTCAAAATAACATACCTGGGGGAACCCTCCCTCTTCCGCTTTCCTTGATTAAGTGTTGTTCTTAGACTTCCAAGAGCCTTCTTGGCAGCCTGAAGATTAAAAAGGCATATCAGTGTCCAAACACCATATGGGAGAAGTTAATCAAATTCATTTATACATAGACAAACGCATATGTAAATAATAATTCATGACAAAAAAATACAATACCTGCATTTTAGCCTCTTCCCATGTTAATCCAATCCCTTTGCCAAAGACCATACCATCTATTTCAACCTAAAACATGAGAAAATTGTTTAATTTTCAGAACTTGTTAAAAAGTTGCCAGAACTTAACAGTATATACAGCACAGGAGAAAAAAGAGAAAATAGTATATGCATTGCGGTGTAATTAAATTTTTAAAAAAGAGAAGATAATTTCGTTTTATGAGACTTGGTTAAGTTGTTTTATCTATTCCTAGTTTAAAATCAGGATACTGAACACTATATATCATCTATATGAACATTTGAAGTTATTTTTTATTGTCTGAATTTTACAATTTAAGTACATTCAATAATTAGCTTTGCAATTCATCATTTGAATCTCAGTTTGATAACCTTGGCGTCAATTACAAACCTGTGCATACACTTCATCTTTCTGAGGAAAATTTGATGCAGGGGTTGGTGGAGATTGGAAACTGGCAGCAAGACCCTCCATCATGCACTGAAAAGGTAGAATGGAGAATTTATAGTATACCAATAATAAACTTTGACATAGCATAAGATGAACAAAAGGCTCTCAATTGGTTTCTCTTTTAATTAAAAAGCTTACCAATTCTTTGAGGGCAGAAATTGAATCCACTGATCTTTTGGAGACTTCCAACCTAGGATCTAAACCCCTAGATGACTCAGCAGTTGAAAATGAGGCCGACTCTTCTTTAAGCAATGGCTGATTACCAGGAGAATTTCCACTACTCACAAAGCCATTGTTGTTTGAACCATGAAACCCACTCACATCAACGTAAGTGGAACCAGAATCATCCTTAGCATGAGACATGTATATATCTACAAAATCATTATGAAAAGGATAAATAAAAATGCCATATCAAATCATAATTAACAAATTTACAAAATCTTACCAGCCAATTGTTTGATTGAGCACTCAGCAGCCTTATGCTGGGCTTCCCTTCTAGTTCTACCAATTCCTTCACCAATTTTTTTTCCAGCAAACCATGCCTGTAAATAAGAATGACATCAAGTTGAAGCATATTAATAAATTTTAAAAGAATATAATGGAGAACTTATTTTAGTAAGTGACACCAATGATTAAATAAAATATAACATAAATTCCAGATAAAACAATAAAGGCAACAAATTCAAATCAACTCATCGAGATATAGCACACCCAACCCTGTGTTCAGCGAATGGAAGACGTATTAATAATAAAAAGTTTACAGCTGTTGGTTAAAATAAGTTCTTGCAAGTATGGAAAAAAAAATACCACAGTGGATTCATTGAATTTAAAATTAGTAATTTTATCCTAAATGAATGGAAATCAAACTATATAATCATAATCAACAAGGACTTGGAAGATCTAGCTACCCAGAATGAAAGATACCTCAATGGAGAATTGCAGTTCTGTGCTAGAAACCAATGACGATAAAAATTCCACCTGTTCACATTAAAGAAACAGAAAATTCAATGGTACAATGGGATCATAATCTATGTAACAATATCATCTAACTATCATGTTACAGACACACATATTTCCACTCACTTTAGTTCCACACTTCAGTGCAATTTCCTGTAATACTCCAGATGTCGTATCGGCATGAAATAGAGAATGTCCGGATTCAGAGTCAAAATCCCTGTTGCTGTAAGCTGAACCACTCAAGGGAATATCATCACCTTCATGAGTCATGATAAGCATGGTATAAATTCATTATAATGATAAAACAAAACAATAGGACCAATTAAATATTCAGATACAAGAGCTAATTTACCTGGGAAAGAATGATAACTAGAGATTGATTGGCTCGATCTTGAGCGATCATCCCTATGATGCACCTGCAATGAAATTATCTTATGTATAACTAATTTACTGAATAATATAAGAGTATGACCCTCTAGCATAACTTCAGGCATAATTTACTGAAATTCTATTATAAGCATTACCTCCTTTGGAAATCTTTGGTGGCTCTCATGGAGAACTCTATCAGATGAAATAGAATCGACACCCTTGGAGAAAAGGGATGAGTGACAAGGCCAGTGCTTCTCAATATGCAATGGTTCAGAATCAATGGGGAATTCTTTAGGTACTAGCCGATTTAGTTGTTGTGGACCCATCTCCTCTTCTGCAGAAAACCAGCCCCTACGTGATGGGACACTGGGAGCAGAAACTGGTATGGGGTGTCTAATGGGAACTGGAGGTTCACTTGACGTGTGCTCCCTTGTATCTTGCCCATGTTGCAATATGAGAAGCCTACGCCTTGTATCTGGGTCTAATTCTGATTCAGGTACTTCACCCTCTTCTCTAGCAGGAGAACTATGCAAACTCGGTTCTGGAGGAGTAACTTGACGCATTGGTTTAACTAGAGTATTAGGTTGAGGAAACTGAACACTGCCAAATTGCATCACAGATGCTTGCGCTGTTGGGGGTGGAACTGTTCCAGAAGAAGACACCATTGTGTATTGAAGAGAAGTAAAAGCAAGCCTAGGATCTATAGTAGCAGTCATTGCAGGGACAGTTGAAGAAGCTGATATTGTGTCCTAAAGGCAAGTACATTCACAAAGATAATAAAATCAATGTTCAATGATATGTAAATCAGAAGTCTCATTTATTCAGACTCAGGTTGTTACCTTTAATCTTCTTTCTACCTCAGCATTTGCCATGCCATCAAATAGTGGATTTTTATTTCCATTGGAAGCAGATGCATCATCCTGAACAATGAAAAACCCAAAGACACACATATGACCAAATTAAATGATTCACATTCTGCTTAAATTTCAACATACTATAACCCAGCAGATTACAGTTTTGTTTAATAACATGTATACTTAAATGTACACTAACCTCTGAAACTAGATAATTGCTCACATCGGGAGGAAAAGGTATATCTTTGATACAATCTTCGTAAGCAATTAGAGGGATCTTTTGTAAAAGACCATCATCAAAATCCCTGTCAACAAATCCGAGGCCATAATCAGGTCTAAGAATTTTGCCTCTTTTATACATGTTTGAGAAATGTAATGTTCTCATAAATCGAGTTATAACAATCAAAAAGGTTTGTATAATTTGTTAGTGAAAATAGGTGAGATCCCCCTCGTTTTTGTTCAGGTATAAAAATAAGCCTATTTAATAAAACTTGGGTTTAGTTCTTACTTGAAGAAGCCACCCCTAACATTGCAAGCAACATTTCTTGCAAGACACAAGATAGGGACTGCATTGCTTGCCTACAAGATAAAGAGGTTTAATCAGTTCCAAACACTAGAGAAATAATGAAATTTATATATAAAACTTAAGATACTGAGTATCATATTATATAGGTAAATGAAATTACCTCAGCTTGTGGAGCATAGTATGGAGCAAATGCAGGCACAACATGCACCCGAGGTTGGTCTTTTTCATCCCACACTTTCAAGCGATCATCAACTACCAATGCCATCTTGGGATGGCATAAGCCATTTTGGAATACATTAAACAATGATTTCTTTAAACCTATTTATAATATATTGAAACACACAAGAAGCAGAAAAAAATAAATGAACAGTTGCAGCAGAAAAACTGGTATGAATTTTAAATTTTCAAATACGAGCTATTGTCATCCTTCTAATTTGCTTCTTTTAGCTACTCAATTACACATGCAAAGCTTCTTGTTTAAAAACAAAATTAATTGGAAGTCAAAATAAATTGCCACTTACCAGACTTGACACAAACAATACGATCTAACAGTTCTTTTGAATTTATCAAATTCAATTCTGGATCAAGAAGCCTCCACATTTCTAGTGCATAGTCCCTCTCAGCCATTGTGCAAACAAAAACCTCAAAACGCTTGCGCCCTCTTGCAGTAAGGTAGCTCCGGAGATCTTCCCATGCAGGTCTCAACCTCACAAGAACACTGGTATCGCGAATCTTTCCAAAGACACAGTTATTGTTAATGATTCTGACAAGTCTAACTGTTTATATATGTTAAGAAACTACAGAAAACATGTACTATCCACCATGTTGAAATCATCCTATCAGACATGAAAGCCTTTGCTAGAGAAGCATAAACATGTGCTTTGAGCACAGGGCATTTTAGATCACAATTATATAATAACCATATAACACCTCGATCTGAATGACAAAAAACTAGAATTCACACTAATGGAATGACATCATACAGAATCAACATACAATAGTTACTCCAAAGATGGTTGATCTCATAATGTAACATTTTACAATCAAATAAATGGATCAGGAAAAAGTAAATACCTGTGGATTGATGCGTGTGAGAATGATATTCTTTTCCTGTAATCGGATCAGTGGTCGAACTATAGGCTGATGACTATCAGACAATGGTGGAACAATCTCAGATTGAATTTTTATCACTTTCCCATTATCAACAACTTGATCATTTTCAGCATATTGCTTCAATATATTCTTGTCATCTAAGTATCGCTTGATCTCCGCCTGCATACCAGAAATCCGTTGTGGATCTACCTCTGAGTTTATTTTTCTATGCAGCACCTCAATTCTATCCTCAAAAGAACGCATTGTATTTGCCACCACCAGAGTTTCATCTAGATCAAACACTATACTCAAACATCTCAGATTTAACATTGCAAGGCATGAATTGTAAAGTCCAGGAGCAACAATAAATCCCCAGAAACATGGTCTATCATCATTACGTGAATACATTGCAACCAAATGTATTTCTTCCCCACTCAGTGGCATTACGGCAGTCTGCAGCAGCCAAAGTTGAAATGTTGATTAAACTCCAGCAAGAGAATTTAGAAAAAGGAAAAATGATGACCATATTCAAGAAACAAAATTTGGCAAGGTTTTAATCTAGCAATCATCGCAAAATGTCAAAGATGGATACAATGCCAAACTAAGTGCAGGATTTCTCTAAATTTCATCATGAAAAATTCAGAAGTAGCTCTCATGGCTAATCTCTTACTATGTAAGCAAAACACACATTTGTTGTGCAGTGATACATGATTAACATATTAGCTATTTGTTTTATATTTAAAAACATCTTAGTTTCTTTAGATTGCACTTGAAATTATCAATAAATTTTATGATTTATTCATTTGCAAGATGTTGTGAGCTGGACCAAGGATGCTACATTTGACTGTCATCGCATGCTACCCAACACAACAAGCAAACCTTGACAAATTTATTACAAGATTCAGAAGAAACAAAAGTCAGTCTTCATAAACCGGTCTGCATCAAATCTGAGTAAAGGTAAAATATATAGTCATTAATGCAGGGCAACCAATTAGACAGTTCCCACAACACCTGGGGTTGAAATCAATATATTCAATTAGTTGAGACAAATATTAGGAAAATTATGAATTGTCAAATAACTGTGTGCAACTTCAAAATAAGTCATCATCCGAGATTCTGTCCAGAGTCCACATGCTTGTTTTGGAACAGATTCTTTTGATTGAGGTTAAAGTTTAAAAAGTTGAGTACTGGGTTTCACTTTTACAAGTTTTGCTGATTATACCTTGTTCTCCCTGATACACGAAGAGTGCAAGTGAAAGAGGGCATCCTGCTGTTGTCGTGTCTGTGAGGACGTTGACTCCATTTTGAAGCAAACACCGCAAGTAATGGTGTGAAGCACTGCAAGCGGTGGACACCTTTCACTTGGTTGCGAGAAGTGACTTATTCTGATTTCGTTCAGATCCATGTTCTTGTTCTCTTCTAGGTATATCTCTACCTCTCCCAGTACCATCTCCCTTTGGTACACCAAACACTTATGCATTTTTCCCCCTTTCTTTTTTCTTTATTTTTTCTTCAAAATCACAAAAGTATGATTGGGACTTTCGTAGAAAAAATTCCAGTGTCTTGCATCAGGAATGCTTTAGATTCGTCCCAATTTTCCCCGTTATCGACAACAAGATAAAATGTATAAAAGAATATTAGCCTTTGGTTTTTGAAGAAATATTAGATCCGTGATTCACGATGAAAAATCCAAAAATTCTAATCAACCTCAATCCCTGAGGCACAAGTGATTGATTCTGTAAGCAACGTGTGATTTGCTAGGGTTTGACGATGGTAATCAAGAAAGATGATGGAGATGGTGATGAATTTAAAGAATCGATTATAACAAGAAACCCTAGATCCAGAAAAAACACAGGTAAAAAAATTAGATACTCAAATCATGGGTTCGGTAGCGTTTATAATTTATATTTATTATATAACAAAAATAATAACGTCCCGCGTTTAAATAAGATAAATATTTTAATTCTTTTTTATATTTCTTTTATTCTTTTGTGATATCACTTTATATATGTATTTTTTCATATCATTTGCTATTTCAAATTTGTTAATATCGTAAAAATATTTATCTTTTATATATAAAAATTAGAATAATGGCATTGAATGAAAGTATTATTAGCTAAAAAAATATTTTCTGTCATTTGTTTTTATATATTTTAATTTTAGTTTCTTAAGTTCAAAGAGTTTTACTTTGTTCTTTTAAAAATTGATTCATAGAATCTTTAAGTACAAAAAATTGATGAAATGATCGATTTAATAAATAAAAAATAAAAATATATATTAAAATAAAAATAAATAAATTCAAGGAATTAAATCAAAATAAAATAAGAGATTAAAATTATATTTTAATCAATTTTGTTATAACTATAAACTATTCTTGTTTCGAAAATGTTTTTAACTGGTTTTCTTAATGAAAGTGTTTTCAAATATTTTCTTCAATCTTTCATTTATTTTAATTTACTTATTTTTAGTTTTCATTTTAATTTTAATTTTTTTTTAATATTCTCAATAATTAAAAATAATCATATATTTTTATTTTGAATTAAAAATATGATTGATATATTTAAAAGTATTTATTTATTGTAAATTTTTATAATAACTTTTAGGTGCGCTTTGTTGTTTTGTTTTTATCCTTTAAAAAAAACAATTTCGTCTTCATAAAAGATATTTCATTTGGATCTCTATTGTATTCGTAAAATCCAACGGAGAAAATTACATAGATCAAAATTAAAAAAAATTAAAAAAAATATATAAAGATTATTAGACTAAAAATTGAGAAAATAAAAATAAAAATAATTAAAATTAAAATCAAAATAACTTTATTTTTCAACGATTAAACATCTATTTAACCTAAATTATACCATCCATCTCATAATAAGTGTAATTTAAAATTTTTACACACAAATTAAAAATAACAAAATAATTAATATATTTTTAAATATAATTTACTAAAATAATTTCATCATTTTAATAAATGCATTTTTAATTATAGTAGTTAAAAAATAAAAATAAAAAATAGAAAAAATAATATTTAACATTATATTGTGTAACAGTATGAGTTTCGTTAATTATTATGTTTTATCAATAATTATGATATTCTGAGGTGTAGTGTTGAAAGATTTTAGAACTAAGAAATTCTTTAAGAATTTTTAGGTATTTTAAGAAGTTTTTATAGACATATTTAGTTTGACCATAAGAGAAAATGACCTAGAGACATGAACTAGAGAAAATGACTCTAGAATCATGATTTTTCCTTTCTTATTTTTAGATTCCCTAAAGGCGTGGGAGATCATTGTTGATCATCGAAGTTGTGATTCAAAGCTATTGAAACTAAGGATTAATGTTGGTGTGGACCTTGTCTTTTCTCCTTTTCTACCTCGTTGGATTTGATCTCGAGATAAGGAAAGCTAAATTCTTAATTCTTATTGGATTGTTGGGTTGTTGGTGGACTGATTACATAATTTAGAAGATAAATAATGACAGTTATATTGTTGAATTGCATGGTTTTCAATGATAATAATTAAACTTTGTACTTTTTGGGTTTCAAGGAGAAAAACATGGTGATTTGGAGAATTATGGTTGCATGTTGGGGAATTAGTTGGTGGTGCAGCCATGATGCATGTGTATGTATTGTTATTGAGACTTTTAGGAACGATGTGTTAATCTTAGGAAGTTGAATTTTTTTGTTACTAGTCATCGATTTTATAAAGTGTAATGATTATAATGGATCGTTACATATTAAGAAATAAAAATATTATTTATTTTAAAATATTTTTAAATGTCAAAACTATAGTTAATTTGGGATGGAGAGAGTAATAAAAATTCAAACTTTTAAATGCATTAATAGAGAGTAGAAGAATCAAACGTACCATAAATGATACATTATGACTAATAAAATAAATTATAAAAATTAAACATGTAATTTTGCGAGAAGTCATGCAATAAAGCAAATATAACAAATGAGTGGGAAAATTGAAACATAAAATATGCCAAAAATAGTAAATAGTAGCACATATAAAGAAAACAAAAGAAAAAAAACATTAAACTAATATTTTTTATACATCTATACAAATCTATAAAGAGGATACCATTTTCGCTAACTACCTTGATCTCTACTTTTTTTGACCATTATACCCTTTTAATTTAAAAAATTAGAAAAAAATTTTTTTAATCAAATTTAACAACTTCGAAATAATAAATCTACACTAATATATAAAAGGGATACTACTTTCAATAATTATTTTTGTTTACAGTTTTACATGGACCATTTTATCCTTTATTTATTTGTCAATAACTACTTTTTTTTATGAGTAACATCTTATTTTTTCCTTTTTTATTTATTTATTTTTCAAAATATAATGCAGGTGTGAAGTGCCTTTTTCTTGCAAGTAATATATAAAGGGAATACCACTTTCAATAACTATCTTTGGTAACCACCTTATCTCTACTTTTTTTTACTATTATACCCTTTTATTTTAAAAAAATTAGAAAAAATATTTTTTTACTCAATTTTAAGTTACTACTTTAATAATTATTTTGGGTTTCTATTTTTACATGGATCATTTTATCTTTTATTTATTTTTAATAACTACATTTTTATGAGTAATTTCTCATTTTTTTCTTTTTATTTATTTGTTTATTTTTTTAATACAATGTAGGCACAGAAGGCCTTTTTCCTACTAATCTATACTAATATATAAAGGGGATACCCTTTTTGCTAACTACCTTGGTCTTCACTTTTTTTAACCATTATACTCTTTTAATTTAAAAAATTAGAAAAAAAATATTTTTTAATCAAATTTAAGAACTTCAAACTAATAAATCTATACTAATATATAAAAAGGATACTACTTTCAATAACTATTTTTGTTTCCATTTTTACATTGACCATTTTATCCTTCATTTATTTGTCAATAACTACTTTTTTTTATGAATAACATCTCATTTTTCCTTTTTTATTTCTTTATTTTTTAAAATATTCTATACTAATATATAATGAGGATACCCTTTTCGCTAACTACTTTGATCTCTACTTTTTTTGACCATTATAACCTTTTAATTTAAAAAATTAGAAATAAAATATTTTTTAATCAAATTTAAGAACTTCAAACTAATAAATCTATACTAATATATAAAAGGAATATTACTTTCAATAACTATTTTTGTTTCCATTTTTACATGAACCATTTTATCCTTTATTTATTTACCAATAACTACTTTTTTTATGAGCAACATCTCATTTTTTTCTTATTTATTTATTTATTTTTTAAAATATAATGCAGGTACAAAGTGCCTTTTTCTTGCTAGTTATAATAAGGGAGTTGCTATGGTACCCTCAAAGATTGAGGGGTTTCAATACATTTTTTTTTGTAAATTTATAAAAATTAAAAAATTATAAGATTTCAATAATGTTATAAAATATTAAAAAAGAAAAGAATTAATAAATAGTAGAAATAAAAAATTATTAAAATTACAATATAGAAATTCAAAAATTTAAGATAAAAGACAAAAATATATTTAAAAAATTATTAAAATTAAAATATAGAAATTTAAAAATTTTAAGTGAAATTATTAAAAATATAAAATATAAAATAAAATTATAATTACAACTGTACCGGTACCCTCCTAAATATTATGGGTACGGTAGAATTTCTCTTATAATAATAGGTTTTGTCTGTGTAGATTAATATTTGAAATTATACGCGTGTTTGAGTGTGACGTGGAGAAACGAGTCGGTTGGCATAGGAACTACGAGTGCGCAAAATCAGTACTAGTGGCTAACCAAACTCTACGTGTCGACTCCTTATTAGAACCAACTTTATGTGGTTGTTACACAATCTTTAAAAGGAATCATAATAAATATACGGTTAAACAAAAACTAGTTGTCATTAAATTATAGTGAGTCTATATATTTCTTTAATTTTTATAATTTTACTTAATTTATTTTTTAGTTTTTATAATTTAAAATGATTTTTTTAAGAAATTTTTTATGATATCCTTCTAAATTACGATATTTTGTTACAGTCAATTTTTAAAGTTAATAAAAATATTTTAAAGTGTAATTTTTTTCTTTTTACTTTTATTTTTTTTCCTCTACACTAAGTGATGTGTTATTGACAAAAATATAATTTAAGTAATTGATTTAGTCTTTTTCTCACTAAATACTAGTCAAGTATTTTAAATCATTTTGTAAAAGTCAAAATAACCCAAAAAAATATAATAAAATTTTATTTGTTGAAATAGAGAAATATTTTGTGAGTTTTTTATTTAATTTGTTTCTTAAAATTTACATACAAATATAAAAAATCTCAATTTATCATGATTTATAATATATATAAAATATTGTTAGTAAATCCAAATGTTTTATGTAATATATATATATATATATATATATATATATTAAGAATTTTAAGAAAATAATAAATGTAATCAAATTATTCTAAAATATCAAATGTTCACATATATTTTTTTTTTTAAAAGATAAAAATAGTTTCAAAACCCTTTAAATTTTCAAGGGTACTGTAGAATTTCTCATTTTTTTAATTCTTATATTTATCTTTTTCAAACTTTTAAAGTTTTTTATGATATAATATAGAATTTTTTAGTTTTTATACTTGTAGGATACAAAAGAGATATAAAGTGTCGAGAAACCTAAGTTAGAGTAATTCAGACAAAATAAATTCAACATAAAATACATATAAGGTTAAATTAATACTTCATTTATCATATCAATACAAAAAAAAGACAATGTTACAAAAAAATAACAAAAAACTCTAATATAATTAAAAATTACAAGTATAGGGACTAAAAAGATTTATCTTAAACTATAAGAATTATAAAAGATAAAAAATATATAAATATAAGAACTAAAAATATTTATTTTAAAC